TTAAATGACTTTTTTTATGCCAATAACGAGATCAAGTTCATTCCCCTACTCATTAAGTAACGAACTGGGTATGCTATCCCCGCCGCGGGTGAGAATAAAAACCCTACGATTGACCTCTCACACCGGGTGAGACTTGCCAGCGTTGCTCAATTCTCACCCAGTGTGAAACCAAGACCCGTTTCTTCCTAATTTCGAAATACTTTCTATCTGTGGGGATGATCAAACTGCCACAGGCAAAGAAAAAAATGTCGTTATAGCACAAAAGTAAGCTAATTCGCTCGCCCTACAAAGATGCTATGGCTCTTTCACTTTTCGAATCGACCGAACTACGCGGGTCGCCTTTTTGTTTTGCCCGAAAGTTCTCGCAAGATCTACTCCTCCCCTACCTTCTCTCTCTCTCTCTCTCTCTCTCTCTCTCTCTCTCTCTCTCTCTCTCTCTCTCTCTCTCTCTCTCTCTCTCTCTCTCTCTCTCTCTCTCTCTCTCTCTGTCGGCAATTTATTAAATCTGCAACCTGCAATTAGATTACAACTAGATCTAGATTCGAGACTTTAGTAAAGGCAGAGTCCAGGGAAAAACATCAATTAAATTCGTGTGGTGCAGATGAGTAAAGAGAGACCAAAACAATCTCTCTATTGCGACTATCATTGCACATCACTTCGCCTAATACATGTTCCGGTAGATTTAACTACCTATAAATAGATGGAAGTTTGACCCATGTCAAAGGTTGGGGGTGGCTGACGATTCGGGAGGTGGCTGCGGGTTGACGGAAGGGAAAAGCGCCGCGGCGCCGCGAGCAGTACGCCGCGTTGGGGATCAAATATGGCCGCCGAGTGTGGGCTAAATCACGAACTGTGGCGTTTCTTTTTATATAATTTTATCGGGCTGGGCCACGTTGTGGGGGTGGGCGGGGTGGGGGAATGCACGCAAGGAAGAGGGGATGGGGCAGGGATGAAAGGGAGGGGCGGGCCTTGGGAAGGGACGAAGGAGAATGGGGAAAATTAAATAAAAGAGAGAGAGAGAGAGAGAGAGAGAGAGAGAGAGAGAGAGAGAGAGAGAGATTGTGATCAACTGACGGGCTGACGGATAATGACAGGGAGAAAAAAAAATCCTGTGTGTTATACGGACTGTTCAATTCTTTAAGAGTTTTATGTTATAGTATAGTTTAAAAATCAAAAAGATGTGTAAAATAAGAAGAAAATTTGCCCGAGTAACATAAAATTATCAAACATACCAAATTATAAAGATAATCTTTCAAGACGCTAAAATATTTAATTATAAGAAATGGACAAAAATATACTTTTAAACTGAATTTAAGATATGATTGCATGATTCTAGGCGTGTGCCATAACTAACTTTATGTGTAAGGAATAGCGAACACAAAAGAGGGTCGATGCCAGCTTTATCTGAATGCTAACAGTATGTCTTGGTCTATAAATAATAATATTACTGTTTACCATAATTTTGTTTCCTGGTTTTCACAAAGTGGAGCGCACAATGATTTCAAATACATGTATTAAAAAAAAAGATAACAGCACCTTTGGAGGAGTGATCGCATGCATGAGCGTGGACGACCTTTGAAGGTTTTGTTTTTTTTGTTCAGTAAAGTATGATATGGAGAGCAGCGTTTTTAGACCCTTATTACACTCCAGAGGGGGATAATTTATCCCAGTGATGACTCTTGCGTAGTAAAATTTGTTGTTGCTTTGTTTGGTTTATTTTTTAACAGCAGAATCTTAAGTGAACCGGAATTATTGATTGTGGGATCTTAGGTGGAGACTACAACAATATAATTAAACCGAGTATAGTTCTATTTAACAAGACTCAAACTCTTATTCACCCCACCCTGCCCTCTCCCCTCATCTGATATGGTTTGGTGTTTCTTTAACATAGAAGATATTCATCATTATTGTTGTTGAGTATTGATTTCATATTCTAATGGAGCCTCTAGATATCTACATTTAGACAACAATAGCATCTAATTCGCACACACAATGGAAAGCAATATCGTTAATTAAAATGTATAATATGTATATATACACACACACATAATAATTATATATATATACACATATATATATATATATATATATATGAATAAGAATACTTTAAAAAATTGAGTATCTCGGTCTTTCTGCTGGGGTGCTGTATCCCTTTCAGCCTGGGTTGGCCTTGGCAGGTAGCGCCGGAACCAGCCTCTTATGAATGTTAATGATCTAAATTGTGTTGCTGGGGGCATAAAAACACTTTCATTCAAATTTTTTAAAAGGAACACAACTTAATGTGAAAACTTCGGTCCACTGCAGCATCATATCGGTTCTTACACTTAAATACAACACACCAACAGAGGCGAAGCGTCTATATAATCAAATAATCACTGCTTCCCTTCCTAATTTTGAAACATTGTCGCAGTCAAATTCACCCATAGACGTAAACCTCACAAATTACATGTAAAAAGACGTTCATAATCACCAATGAACAATAGACTATGCCTAACCTTCAAAACCGTTTCATTGCCACAGAAATAGCCTGTTCGCCCCTATCGGGCCACTCTATAAGCAGTCACAAGCTTTGATTAAGTAAGCTTAAAGTGAGGCTGGAAGAGTCAACCAATAGATTTGAAGGGAACATGTGCATAGCAGTCGGAACTGTTTCATTGTCGCATATACCCTGTTCACCCCTTTCGGGCCACAGTTATAAGCACCCAGACACGCTGATTATCTAAGCGAACTATAACACTGGTCGAGTCTACCTCACAGATGTGAGGGGAACTAACTCCTAATAATCCTTATACTCCTGCTACTACACTGCTAGTGCTTGTTTTTTTCCTCGACTTTTTAAGGTTCTATAATCAGATCGTGACCTCGATTATGACAGCGGCTCCTGGCCGCGAAAAGCTAGACAAAAAACAGCCAAATGTGAAATAAAAAATTAATAATTGGCGTGCTCTACCAAAGTGTTTCGGCTGTCTGGTATAACATGCCATTGTAGTGCTGACATCTCTGCTTCTTTCCTTGGTGTTCGTGTGTTCAAATCTAAAGTTGAATTTAAGGTTAGTTAGAATAAATATTTAATGAAATACTTTCCCGATTATTTTAGCGGTTGAACAAGCATACAACATGAATTCAGGATTTGTTTTCATTCACAACTCAGAGTTGCCGCCTCCAGAGCCAGTAAGATTCTTGTGACTTGTGTGAGTGTGATATCTCCAGGCCCTATCTGGTCCCATTTCACTTTGATTATCCTGTCAAACAAGTCAGCCTTCGCCCCTGCACACCAAACATTTTCCGTTAGTAGGAAATTATGAATTTTGCCCTGGTGGCGGCCGAAGTCTACTCTTTTCGATTTTAGACGACTAAGGGATCTTTAACGTGCGCAACTTGCACACGGGACCTCCGAG